TAGTCTGCGCTCCAGCGGGTATATCTCACTGGTCATCCCCAAAGCCAACACCTCCTTTGGCCGCAATTCCTTCCAGTTCTCTGCTGCCAATGACTGGAACAAATTGCAAAAATCTCTGAAGCTGGAGACACTTAACTCCCTCACTAACTTTAAGCATCAGTTGTCAGAGCACCTTACCGATCACTGCACCTGTACACAGCCCATCTGAAATTAGCCCGCCCAACTACCTCATCCCTATATTGTTATTTATTTTGCTCATTTGTACCCCAGTATCTCTATTTGCACATCATCTCTTGCACATCTATCATTCCAGTGTTAATACTAATTGTAATTATTTTGCACTATAGCCTATTTTATTGCCTTACCTCCATAACTTGCTAAATTTGCACACACTGTATATATATGTATTTCTGTTGTATTTTTTGACTTTGTTTTGTTTTACCCCATATGTAACTCTGTGTTGTTGTTTTTATCGCACTGCTTTGCTTTATCTTGGCCAGGTCGCAGTTGTAAATGAGAACTTGTTCTCAACTGGTTTACCTGGTTAAATAAAGGTGAAATAAAATAAATAAATAAAAAATAAAAAGTGTATGTTGTGTAGTAAGCTGTTAATAGCCCATGTACCTCACCCTAATAATTTGGTCCCTTTTCCCCTCATAATTTAGCCTAGTGTTCTGACTTGGTTGTGCACATGTAGCCTATAGCCTGTTTTAGAGAAATGTAATCATTGAATATTGTAAGAGTTTTCATTGTCTGCTTATATAAACACTTTATTTATCCTACGGTTCTGACTTGGTGTACAGGGAGAATACTGTAAGAATGGCCCATGTTCTGAATTATGTTGCTGTACATTTCAAAAGTGCTGAACAAATAGTTATATTGACTACGTCCGTCCTAGCTCACTCACTAATGTCTTATTCGACATTACGGATTGCCTCTAATCCACTCGTCGTCCCCTTATGCCATAGTTTGTACATCTCAATTCTCGGTAGAAACCACATTTGTTTAAGCAAGTCAGCCATATCAGCGATGTTTTTTTTAAAGGCAGTAAATGAGGCTGAATGAACTGTTTCGCTGCCAGACAAGGCTCCGCTGATAGCCAGGTGTAGCAGTGGTAAGGATTCACTCCATGGTTCTGAAAAGAAAGCTCTGCTGTTGGGACAGCTTTATGTAGGCCCTAACAGTTTGTGGGCACCGTTATAGTGCAATTAATGTATTGTTTAGTGTTGTGTTGTGTAGTGGCTTTGCTGGCATGCATCTAAAACATTTTTTTTTTACATGCTAAAATCGCAACTGGTGGTATATGACCATCATACTGTTCCATGGCTAAGGGCTGTATCCAGGCACTCAAGTTTGCGACGTGCATAAGAACAGCCCTTAATAGCCTGAACCTGAATAGTAATTAGGCTACGAAAATAATGATTACATCTAGATTGAAGTGGTGGTTGAATAAAAGGCTAATTAGGCTTCCTGATAATTACATTACATAATTACATCATTACATCATTTGTCACGTTCGTTCAAGGACGGGTCAGACCAAGGCACAGCGTGAAATGCGTACATGTTTATTATACTGATAAACACACGACAAAACAACAAACAAACGAAACGTGAAGTCCTAAGGCTGAACACAAAACAAGCCTAAACACGGAACAAGATCCCACAACTAACGCATGCCAACAGGCTGCCTAAGTATGATCCCCAATCAGAGACAACGAGCGACAGCTGTCTCTGATTGGGAATCACACCCGGCCTAACATAGATCTACAACACCTAGACTGAAACATAGAAAACTTACTTCCTTTCTTTCTTTCCTTGCTCCCTATCTCCATGTGTATGCTTGCTCATAATTATAATCATAAACAAATATTTGTATAATAATGTCTAATTGATGATAAAAGATTTCCAGCAGGAAATGCAAACGTAGAGTTTTTGAGGTTTAAAAATGCTTCTAAAGTTTGTAATTTCCACTTTAAAATGACTTGATTTGCCCTAACGAAAAATGGATCAATCCCCCCTAAAAAGTCCCATTAATTATAATCCACATAATAATTCACATTTCCTGTTGCTGCAGGATTATTTTCCTGCTGTAGCAAACTGTCTCAAAATCAGATCCTACATCAGTACTTCCCAACAGACTGAACAACTTTCACCCCTGAACTCCCACTATTGCCTATAAATATAGAAACAGAAACAAAAAAACATGTCACAGAATATACTGTATACATGTATGAATTTGGGTTTGTACCCTAGCACAAAGCACAATGTGATTTAACTTACATAAAAAATGTTTCTAAGTTTCAAATCTACAGCCCTTATTAATGTCTCAGCACAAACTGCATTCCCTTATCTTGTCAAGCTGGAAACAGGTGCACATAGCTTTCCTGAGTGACAGATTGAACAGATCAGAGCTGCTGGAGCTAGATCAACAGGACTTGTTACACAATGATGCTTTGATGTAGAACACATTAATAAAACCATAGCAACTTTTTGTCTGCAAGCTGCCTTTCTTTGGCAGGTCAATGCACTAAACGGCGTTGGAATCACTTTGAAGGGGTAGCTTTAACTTTCACATCACATTCGGTAACATTTATCAACTTCATAATCACAGTCTTTTGTGATTCACTCAGGGGAGTAACTCTGTGTTAGATATTGGGGAGTATTAAATCTGGTGGGGGGTCTGGGGGTTCTCCCCCGATTTTATAGAAATGTTTTAATGCATTTCGCTTACTTATCAATTGCCTATCAATGTGTTTCTGTCTTCATCCTTCTTCTTATCTGCAACGCTGGCGACAGAGTAGAGTCGATCTAAAGTGATTAGATGGGAGGACCCCATTCTGCAACCTGCAGTCCTTTGTTTGAAGGAGGTGGTTATCCATACATGTGGTCTATTTCTACTATTTGAGGTTGACATGATGAGATGCACCTGGAGTAGATGGTTGAAAATGTGGCGTGTGTCACTAATTACTTTATTGGTTTAAAAAACATTAAATCCACATATTGACAGAGCTTGAAGAATTTTGAAAAGAATAATGGGCAAATGTTGCACAATCCAGGTGTGGAAAAACTCTGAGACTTACCCAGGAAGACTCACAGCTGTAATCACTGCCAAAGGTGATTCTAACATGTATTGACTCAGGGGGTTAAATACTTATCTAATCAAGATATATTAATGTTTTATTTTTCATAATATATTTTTTTTAATCTTCCACTTTGACATTACAGAGTATTTTGTGTAGATCGTTGACAATTCAATCCATTGTAATACCACTTTGTAACATAATAAAATGTGGAATAAGTCAAGGGGTGTGAATACTTTCTGGAGACACTGTAAGTGCTTAAGTAATATAGTAAGTAATCTACTGTAGGCTAAGTCTAATGAAAGTTGCAATATCAATAATAAAGTAAAACAATAGCAAACCCTGCATCAGAAACTGGAAAAATTCTAAGATGATTAATGCATGTTACTACCTACATTTGAAGGAACATGCACCTTACAGTATGTACAATAACTGAATGTTTGTTCTCTATATTGTAATAACCCTGGCCTCATGCTTCTCCCTCTCGTTTCATTACAATATTGTCTCAAACGTTTGTTGATCACAAGCTGTGTCATACAAACAACCCTTTGTTGTTATGCAAAGAACAGAATGTCTCAGAGAGAAAACCCATCCAACTGGATGTATAAACATCCCTTTTAAATCTTATCTTCCTGAGATGTTGGCAGCAATGCTGGTGAACACCATCCACCCACACTTAATCCTCCAGACAGTCATACAAATAATGATATGCTTTGTTTAAAAAATTTTAAAAATAAAGGAACATGAAATAGATGCTTATGTAGAAAATAGGAACCTGTGAAGTGGTTGGTTGACTGAGTAGGTATCAGGTTAGTTGGACAGACAACTGTGCACCAAAATGTACATCTTTCAACATGTGAATTCATTGTCAATGCATTCATAGTCCAAAAACATTTTCATGTGTCTTGTGTCTTATTTCAATGTGTGTAATTTACAGTAGACTTAAAGATGAAAATGAATCTAGTGTACAACTTAAGTGTTCACCTATTTTTGTCACCTATTAAAATAATTTTTTGAATTGTACATCTGGTACAGTATATGCAACTTCAATCACAGGAGGCTGGTAGCACCTTAATTGGGGAGGACGGGCTCGTAGTAATGGCTGGAGCAGAATCTGTGAAATGGTATCAAATATATCAAACACGTGTGTTTGATACCATTCCATTCACTCCATTCCAGCCATTATTATGAGCCGTCCTCCCCACAGCAGCCTCCACTGACCTCAATACGTCCGCTTGACCATTGCAATGTAAACACACAAAATGTTATCAATACAAAAGTGTCTTCTTACTATAAAATAATTGATGACAATATACTTTGAAACACCTATGTTTCTCCTGCGACACCACAGGTTAACACCACAGTATGACCTTTTCTCAATACTTTAGATTTTCTGGTAAGAATGTCAAACAACACCACCCACAATATCAAGCTTTAGCTTTTACCATTAGCCTAAGTAATTTTACTGGCCAACTTCACTTACTGATAAGTGGGTTAATGGGCATGAGTAAAAGTGTCACATGTTAGACTGCACTCAGTGCTAACCCCCCGCCCCCTCTCTTAACTCCATTGTGAGACGCAGAGGGACTCCAGGTAAATAAGCATAACAAGAGCTATTCCAGGAATGCTTGTTAAGGAACGAGAAAATGTTGAAGTGCGAGTTCCACCAGGAAATGGGGCTGACCCACACCACCCTGAAGGAGGTGGAACGGAAGGAGTTGGGAGAGATTGAGCAAGTTGTTCACATTCTTGGGGTTTCCACTGTCATCAACAAATTCCTGTCCAAGCCACTTTCTTCCTCCTCAGGTATATAACCATGACACCAGAGTGATGCTTGTCACTGCAGATCCTTTGTCCAAGTCTGATCCAGCCAGCACCTGCTAACATACCTGTGCTAGCCAGCATCCTCCATCCTCCACCATGTCATTCACCTCCAGATCCTACACCTCTGCCAGGGCCCTCAGCATGTATGGGGGTGCCGGTGGCCGCGGTTCCCGCATCTCCACCTCCCAGGCTGGGGGACTCTACGGCACCGCTTCCTCCAGGGGTGGCTTAGACCTGGCTGACGGCCTGGACCTCCACGTGTCAGCCAACGAAAAGGCCACCATGCAGAACCTGAACGACCGCTTGGCCTCCTACCTGGAGAAGGTGAGGCTTCTGGAGAAGGAGAACGCAGAGCTGGAGAAGAAAATCAAGGATTGGTATGCTTCACGCACGGTTATCTGCCACGACCACAGAGCCTACTTCGCCACCATCGCTGGCCTGAAGGACAAGGTAAGACGGAGAGGGAGAGGGGGAGGGAGAGGGGGAGGGAGAGGGGGAAGGGTGTGTGTGTGTTAGAATTAGGGGAGTGTGACACCTGAAAATGTTAATTTATTTCCAAAAGCACTAACTCCATCATGTGTGTGGGATGGGATGGGGGTGTTTCAGCTAAAAGGAATTCTGTCAGAGAACGTTTTTGTTCTGTTCCTTGAAGGCCAATGCAGGTTATGTACTAAAATAATGTCATTAACTATAACTTCATACATCAATATTCATATGTCATCTTATCTGACTATAGCTATATACCAGATTTGCAACCAAGGCCACGTCCCAAATGGCACACTATTACCTAAAACGTGCACTACTTTTGACCAGAGCCCTATGGGTCCTGGTCGAAAGTAGTGCACTATATAGGGAATAGGGTGCGATTTATGATACAGCCCAAGTCTAATTTTTGCAGTCCTGCTGCAGGTCACAGTCACTTGAGAATATGTGTATGATGATGTGGGTGAAAATTAACACAGTGCCATCGGGATTTCTGTTCCACAGATCAGTTTGGCATCCAGGTCCAATGCCAAGACTGTGCTGGGCATCGACAATGCCAAGCTTGCTGCTGAGGACTTCAAGATGAAGTAAGGGGCTACTAACTACTATGAATCACGACACACTATTTATATAAAACATTTGTCTTTCACTCAAGGCTCTATACAACACACTCTGAGTAGAAGTTACCCTTTTAGACACAGAACTAGAATCAGCCTACCCAAGCTAAATCCTGTCCATAACTATTAGTGAGGAAAAGGCAAAACTGACCTTAGATCAATGACCGTGTCCAAATACCCATACTGGCGTACTACATACTTAAAGTGCATACTCATTTCGGTGTTTGATCTAGTAGAATTCACTTGTTTGACAACAGCTGATAATCAGATTAAACCAGACACTGTACCTAAATGAATGAATGGCGGGAGTCAATGCAATCTCGCATTCGAAACTAAATTTTCCCCACACTATTTAGTACGCTAGTAGGGGTATTTGGACACGGCCAGTGTTTAGCCATCCCTACTCGATAGACAAAGCAAAAGATTACAATTCTGAAAACAAAATGGTAGCCTGTGTGACCTTTGCGTGACCTTTGACCTTTGCCCTGCTCAGGTATGAGAATGAGCAGGCCATGAGGATGGCAGTGGAGGCAGACATCAGTTGTCTGAGGAGGGTCCGGGATGACATGAGCCTGGGTCGCTCTGACCTGGAGATGCATTACGAGGGTCTGAAGGACGAGCTCATCATGCTCAAGAGGAACCACCAGGAGGTAACGGATCGTTCAGGGGCAACGGTTATTCACAGTACAACCACACTGTATAGCACAGGGGAGCTGTTTTTCCACAGTACACCCATTCAAAACCAAAATGCCATACCGTCATATCTTTCACTCAAGTTACGATGTCCACCAACGCCCACACCTTGTCACCTCCCTCCTCGCATCCACACCTAAAACAGATATGTACCATGGCATGTTGGTGCTAGTGAATCTGAATAGGAATGGCATGCATATGTTTACTTGTTAATACTGACCTAATAGTGCAAACAGTAGTAGAAAAAGGGATTTATTATTTGCTTAGTATTCAGTGATGACATACAATAGGCCCTACATGTATTGCATTCCACTTACAGCAGCAAATAACTCACTTCAGTAGGCATCCACATGACAGTTGCTAGGTGGAAGGATATCATTGGCCACTGAGGAGTACTTAGCCCTGTTTTGTATGGGGTGTTATTGAAGCAGTTAATGTTTTGCACACAAATATGACATCTACCTAACCTCTGCTGATATCACACCAGGATTTCCTTTACACAGATGGATGGGTGTTTTTTTTTTACAACACAGTTCCTCTCCCCTCCTCACACTTCCTATTATTCTTAATTTCTTCCATTAACTCACTATTACCCTTTGTGGGACTCTTACATCCACAAACACACAAATGACAGTTCATGTATGGTGCATAATGGGTAATATCTTGACCAGTAGGAGACTGGTCAAGACTTAGTCCCTCAGGTTAAAAGTCCTCTGGTTGAAACACATGTAATCACAAGTGTGGTGCTGCACTGTAATAGCAAATACTCAGACTTATCTAAAACATTGAGACCTGTTTACTCGCCGTCAAGCTACTGTTGGTTGTTACGGTTACTAACTGAGGTTACGTCCTCTGACCTTTGACCTATAGGAGATTGCCCTGGTGAAGACCCAGGTGGGCAGCCAGGTGAATGTATCGGTGGATGCTGCCCCATCCCAGGACCTGAACGCAGCAATGACTGAGATCAGGAAGCACTACGAGTCTGTGGCTGCCAAGAACTGCAAAGAACTGGAAGCCTGGTACCAGGGCAAGGTGAGTTGAGTTACCAAGATACTACATGTAGTCATTTACCCCAAAGTGTTATTCTCTAAAGTTTTTTTTTCCTCAAAAGAATAATGCAATTCAGCTTTAGACAATGTCAGCTGCCCCAAAAAAACATGCATTAAAATGTAAAGTGTTACATTTCAAGTGTTCATTACAAAACATGTTTAAAGCAAGTATATTCTCTGTATAGGAGGAAGTCAATGATCTATTGAAGCATGGAAATCAATTTAGAGACTGAATAAGTAGGCTCTGAGGTAAACTGTGTTGACTAATGCTGTTTTTCTACTTGTACAGCTGGCCACAGTGGAGATTGAAGTCGTGACAAACAATGAGCAGCTGGTGAGCTGCCTCACAGAGTTGAAGGAGTCCAAGAGCACACTCCAGAGGCTTCAGATTGAACTGCAGTCCCATCTGAGCATGGTACAAGATCTCCCAGCATCCGCACCATACGCAAATCGGGTCTTTACACACACACACACACACACACACACACACACACACACACACACACACACACACACAACACACAAACACACACACACACACACACACACACACACACACACACACACACACACACACACACACACACTCTTACACTCTTACACTCTTACACTCTTATTCTTCTTTTTTGTTAGAAGTTTTCAGAGATGTAAGTGACCAGCATGTGGCGTTACAGCACTAATACTACAGGAATAAAAACATGCACACTAAACTGAACATAAGCCATATTGGAATTGGAAGTGAAAACCCAGTCATGGATGGTAGCATGTAGGCCAGGTCTCTGCTTGTCGTTATTCTGACACCCATAAATATCTTACTGACATTTTCAACTTGGTAACATGCCCACCTCATGTCTGGACTTGACCCAACATTTTTCTGGGGGTGTAGTCTATTGGAGCACACGTTTCACAACCTCTCACTCACTTTTGTACAACAGAGTTATACAATAATAGAATAACAGAAGCAAAACTGCAACAGTGTCACATACTGTGGTAGTATATCATTGGACAAGGTACCAGTATACCCACAGGGTGAAGTTTCCCTAGGTACAGATCTAGGATCAACTTCCCCTCCCCAATACTAAACTTAACCATTAATGGGGGGGCGAATGCAGAACTGACCCAAGATCAGCATCTAGGGGCAACTTCACCCTACACCCACTAATCCCCTCCACCCCTCCTACCCCAATAGAAATCCTCCCTGGAGGGCACCCTGGCAGACACCCAGAAGCGCTACTCTGCTCAGCTGGCAGGGCTCCAGAGCATGGTGACTAGCCTGGAGCTCCAGCTCTCCCAGCTCCACGCCAACATCGCCCACAACAAGCAGGAGTATGACATGCTGCTGGACCTCAAGACCCGGCTGGAGCTGGAGATCGCTGAGTACAGGAGGCTGCTGGATGGAGAGGAAAAGAGTTCCTCCCAAGGTAAACCATTGCATACAGCTGGCAATGTAGGCATTTGTAGACTTTATGCCAAACGCATGATCATGAGACTTGGTCTTGCTTGATTTTAAGCTGAAAGCAATATACTGTATCTTCAAAACTTGAATGTTGACAATTATTCTGGACTGTATCAAAAGTGGACTAATGAAGAATAGTGGACTAATGTCAATTTTTGTCTCCCCAGTGGTTACCAAGACGATCACCGTGACCCAGACCATTGTGGATGGAAAGGTGATGGAAACCACTGAGTCTGTTAAATAAGTTGTTAACAGAACCATCAATAAAGATTATGTGGTTGAATGAGAATGGTCTGTGTGGTTTCACTTGTTTCAGAGATATTCATGCTTTATCATAGACTGACTATATGAAGATGTGAGAATGGATTTCATAGCAGATACATTTTGTGTTGTCTTTTCAAATTAATTGTTTTAAATTTTACATATTTCAACCAAAACATGGTGACCAGCTCTACATTTGACTCTAAAAACAATCTCCATACAGTATATAACTCTGAATCTAATGCTTGAAAAACTGAGTGCTTGATTGATAGAGATAGAATTATGTAATTTTGCTGACAACTTGCAACCAGATTTCTACTATCAGCATTTAAAAAAAATATTGCCAAGTATTAAACTCTGTACAAGTGAATGTCATAAATGACACTATTCAAGATCATACTGACACATATGCTTTCTCAAGACCATAGAATTGGCCTCATATGCAAAAGATAACAACCTATATGATAGTCAGATGTATGGGAGCACACCAAATCAGATAAATCAAGTTGAAAGACACAGAAGACAGAATGACTGTGTCAGCAAGTCAGAGCATCTTTATTGCATTCACAATTGGGTGTGTTGTTAGTGTTCCATCCAGATGTAGTAGAACGTGTTGTTCTGGAGGTGTTAACCATAGAAATAGAATTACCAGAAAAGAAATCCTCATTCAAGTCAATGTTCCATGATGGTTGTCGGAGGGGCTTTAGCCATTCTACAAAGAATAGGAGGTTGGTATGCACCCTAAACGAGAGGATTTTTCATCTGACGAAGACTTTGTATAAGTTGAAACATTGTATTTTAGGTAGTATGAATAAAGCACTGGGGAGCAGTAATTTTCCATGTGCTGGCCTCTCATTTCCTATACCCATTCTAGTAATTATATTTCTATGGGGTTAACCTGTTGCTTGCTGCAGTGCTCGCTGTGTGTGTGGGACCTTAAGAGGTGTGTTTGGTTTCACTTGAGGAGACAACCTTGCCGTCCACCATTTCCTCTGTAACGATCACCACCTTGCGTGAGGTGGACGTGGAGGAGCTGGGGCCGGAGCTGGAGGAGCTGATGTGGGAGCTTGAGGAGCTGTGGCCGGATTTCGAGGAGCTGAGGCCAAGGCTGTGAGGAAGGGAAACCCATGGTTAGCATAGTTAGTATCTATGATCTATGATCATAATACGTATCTATTAAAGGTCACATAGCTGTAGATTCATGTCAAAAGTAACCATGGCTCATACTAAGGTCAAATTCAAATGAACATTGTTTTTAAAGGCAAACGTTGAAGGAAGAATCAATTCATTTTCACTTCTTTCAAGGTCCCATGTCACCCCTCTTCCCAACCCACAAAGATGTAACACTCTCCTCCCACATCCCTGTCTGTCTTATTGGCCTCCCTCTGTCCAATCGCATCCTGCCTTACCCGCTAGCCTCTCCGTCCAGCAGCCTCCTGTACTCAGCGATCTCCATCTCCAGGCGTGTCTTGATGTCCAGCAGCATCTTGTACTCCTGGCCCTGGCGTTCCATGTCGCTGCGGAGAGACATTAGCTGCTCCTCCAGACTGGTCACTTGGCTCTGGAGGCGTCCCAGCTGCATGGAGTAACGGCCCTCCGTCTCCGCCAGCGTGCTCTCCAGGGAGCCTTTCTATTGGCCGGGAGAGATAGAGATGATGGGTCAAAAACAGTGGGAGTAGGTTTGGAATTTGGAATGTTTACTGTCATACTGAAAAGGTTAGCTCTAGTAATTGAATGTGTAGACAGGTAGAGGTTAGCTATAGTAATGTAGTGGTGCCTGGCTATAACAACTTGAGTGATAGTGGACGAGACCAGGTGAAAGTGAGATACTTGAGGTTTCGTAAAGATAATGATGAAAGAGTCAAATGTTGATTATTGAAGAAAGATGTAGAAAGTTGTGTAAGTAATGCCCCCTAAACTGTGGTCTTTGGTCAGATGTTAGTAATTACGGCTCACCATGCTGAGCTGTGACTGCAGTTCGATCTCCAGGCCCTGCAGTGTGCGACGGATCTCTGAGATCTCTGACTTGGAGGTCTGGAGAACCTCTGTGCTGGACGCCACCTCCTTGTTCAACGTCTCCGTCTGTAAAACACAATAAGTAGTCAGTCATCACAGGAACAAAACAACATTTCAACTCATGATAGAATGTGACAACGTTACCAACTAGAACTAAAGGAACATCTACACCATGAACATAGTTTAGAGGTTCTAGAGGTTCTACCTTGGTCTGGAACCAGGACTCCAGGTCGCGCTGGTTCTTGGCACTAACGGCCTCGTACTGCTCACGGATCTCAGCCATGACTCTGCTCAGGTCCTCCTGTGGTGCTGCGTCCACCTCCACGTTGATCTGTCCAGTCATCTGCGTCCTCATGGCCAGCAGCTCCTGTGGAGAAACACATAGAGGTGAGTTTAAATGATTAAGAAGTGACTAACCTCTGCCTGACGGTAACAACTTGACCTGCCCTCGGTCTTCATTATAAATGTGAACACCATTGCTTGATACAGATGTGCTTGAAAAACAGCAATGTTGTTCTAATGAAGACCGATAGCAGGTTGACATGGTCAATAGATGTAATACATTAAGGGACTGTATGTATATGTTCCATCAGCCCACACACACCTCCTCATGGTTCTTTTTGAGATAGATGAGCTCCTCCTTCAGCCCCTCGATCTGCATCTCCAGGTCAGATCTAGCCAGGGTCATCTCGTCCATCAGCCTTTTCAGCCCGGCGATGTCCGCCTCCACCGACTGACGCATGGCCAGCTCGTTCTCAAACCTGAGAAATTGAGAGATTTTAGGACAAAGAACTGCCTGAATGTGTTCCTACGTGAGAATCGCAGGGGGTTTATAGATTATAGTATTCCATTGAGTTTTGGGGAAAATAACAGAAAGTAACACCAGGCTTCTGATATGTCTGTTGGGAGGGTGTGGTTATGATGGAAGTGAAGGGTAATATCATTTTCTTTCCTTTTTTTATAGATTAAATAGAAAATTTAATTAAAGAAAACAGTTTCAGGGTGTTTACAGATTTGGAAGTATTCCATTTGGTTTATGGAATGAACCAGCAGTGTACTGTATATGTGGATGGTGTTGGATATACTTACTTGGTTCTGAAGTCATCTGCAGCGAGCTTTGAGTTGTCGATGCTGAGATAGATGCTTCCATTCAAGCAGGTGGCAGCCTGGATCTGAGAGGTGCAGGATGGCAAAACATTTCAGGATGGGGCATGCATAGAATTTCACTCAAATGCAGTACGCACAAACTGTGAAACCACACTGTAATCACTGAGTTCTGAGTTTCAGCTGCACTGTAAATTATAGCTCATAGAAGCATTACAGGGAACCTGTTGTGTTTGTGAACATTGTAAAGCATGACACAAAGAAACAAATTGCACCTTTAGCAATCGCCTAGGGGCTCTTAAGAGAGAGGAAGGATTGGCTTCAATGATCTGCTTTATTTTCAATCCTTCAGCTGCAAATATGCATACTGTCTTTGCATCTATCTTTGGTGCAATATCTTGGTTGAATCAATTATAACAAATGTATATACTTTTGCATTGTCCAATATTCATATTCATACCACTCTTAGTAACTTGTTGGAAAAACAAGCTGATGATGTGTACACCATGTACCTGTACTCTCTAACAGACATTACCATTGTTTTGACATGCTGTGATGTCATCATTGAGTGCTCTTGCCATTTAGGAGACATGTCACATACCTTGTCCTGCAGGTCGGCGATAGTAGCGTAGAAGCCAGAGTAGTCGCGAGCGCTGGGGGAGGTCTTGCTCTCCATGAACTGACGGATCTTCAGCTCCAGCTCGCTGTTGGCCGCCTCCAGCAAGCGCACCTTCTCCAAGTAGGTGGACAGGCGGTCGTTCAGGTTCTGCATTGTGGCCTTCTCGTTGGCCGACACATTAATGTCGGCTCCACCGCCGCCACCACCACCCCCTCCCATGCCGAAACCATAACCACCACCGCCGCCGCCACCCCCTCCCATGCCGAAACCATAACCACCACCGCCGCCGCCGCCACCGGAACCGAACGAGGAGCTAGAGATGCGCACCCCAGATCCTCCTGCACCTCCATACACACTGCCGGCCCTCATGGCAGTGACATGGCCTCCTCCACCGCCACCACCACCCATCGAGGAGAAGCGGGAGGAGCCCATGCCCATACCCATTCCACCACCACCTCCAGACCTCATGGACATGGTGCCACCTCCGCCTCCACCACCACTGCTGCTGTAGGACATGCTAGATCTGGAGAAGGACATGGCTGCTGAGAGGGAGTCTGCCTGCCTGGGATGAGGAGAGAGAATGTGGTGCACGGCCCAGCCACTGTTCCCTTTTTATGCTGCACAGGGCAGAAGGAGGGAGGGAGGGTGGGAGGAGGACATGGGTGGGAGAGGCAGAAGGGAGGAATACAGGGAGGTGTTACCTCATGTAGGACAGGGCTCCTCCACCCACTTTGACACCCTGCAGGCAGACACTAGGATGCAGAAGGAGATGGAAGAGGATAGATAGATATGTACTGTATGTGTTGATGTGCAAATATTGAAAATATACTAGTGTTGTGCAACTCCACTCTCCCCCATCTCACTCTATATATGGTGTGTGCCTGCAGGGTGCTTGCAGGCACTCACACAAACATATAAAAGTACACAAACCCATAAACAGATGGAATTCCTCACCTGTAAAAGCGTCTTCTCTTAATCAGTCAACACACAGTATAACTTTGACATGCTGTGACAGGTGAGCTTTGTCGTGTTTCCTGAGCATATAGATTGACACACTAATTTGCATATAGATTGACACAGGCTATTTACCTCTACCTGTTATGTTACCAAGACAACAAGTTGCAAATAAACTTCACGGTACAATATGATATTTCGCTTGACACCCAGACAACATTCTCTCCGAAAAGACCTGTCTTTGTCTCACACACTGATATCTGGCAAGAAAATCTCCTGTCCTTTTCCTT